CAAGTACGTGCGGCAGGAAGAGAAGAATATCCGCTTCGGCGAGGATGTCGAGTGGCCCGACGTCGAGGCGGACGAGGTCGACGTTGCCAAGGGCGAGGACCCAGACGCCACCTCGCGCACCAAGAAGCCAGTGGCGTGGGAGCAGTGGGGCGGGATTGTCCAGCGCGGAGACCCTAAGTCGCTCGTCCTCTTCAGGCTTCGCCCAGAGAAAACAGTGCGGAGGGCGCCAGGCCCAGGCCCGATCCGCAAGCGCGACTGGACCCCGCTGGCCAAGAAGTGGTTCAAGCAACGCAAAGTCATACTCCACACAGACGGCGCCCGCTTCTACAAGCTGCGCGTTGACGGCGTGGTCCACGACTGGGTCGTCTACATGAAGAAGCGCGTGAAGGCCGCTGGTGTTTGTGTTTGGGTGGGTGGGTGGAGGAGGGGAAGGTGGCCGTCCCTCGCCGACGCCGATTGCGGCGGTGCCCTTTTCTGCCGCAGAGTCAATTGGCTCGACCACTTGACCAGAGGTACGATGTGGGCATTGTCAGAGTCGGCGCAGGCAAAGGACAGTCGGCCCCTTTGCCGCTCCTCGCAGGTGAACGGCAAGTACGTGTGGGTCAAGCCAGCCTTCACGAAGGTCAGGTATCACGACATTGCAGACAATGGATGCTCCAACAAGACGAAGCGCATCTGGGTGAAGTGCGGGACCCAGATCATTGACCGCGTCTGGGGCGGGTTGAGGCGCCACCTTGGCCCCAACCGCAAGGTGAACCCCCGCGCGCTGGCAAACAAGGCGAGGTCCTTCCAGTGGTGCTACTGGAACAAGGGCGAGGACCTGTGGGCGCAGACGGGCAATATGCTTACCGCTCTGTTCCAGCAGCAGCACGAGTGAGCGAGCCCATCTGCCGCTGCAGAGGCACTGCATACCTCCGTCTCAAATGCCACCTACCCTGGCCCCGCACTGCTTCCCGCACGGCGAAATGTTGGGCCAGCGCAGCGAGAGTGCCCAAGCGATATGTGTGCGGACGTGCATATTGGTTCTGAGGTTCGAGAAAAACTACGTAGTCTGCCCGCGTGGAATTTCCGCCCGCAAGGGTATGATCAGGAGCAGCCGTCGCCGTCGTCGCGTCGCCGTCGTTGATTCAGCCCCCGCTCCCCTGCGGTTGCCCCCGCCCCCGTTGTGTCCTGCCGCCGCTATTGATCAGGCTTGCACAGGGTGTCCGAATGCATTCGCGCGCGCACAAGCCCCTGGTATATCTCTGCTCATGACCAACCTCCCCGCCCTCGGAATGAAGTCCCTGAGGGCGCACTTGGAGGTCGAGGGGGCGGACAGCGAGAAGATCCAGCAGGTATTCGAAAAGGTCCGCGGCCACGGCTCGGCCGTCCCGATGTACCAGACGGCGTTGCACCCGGAGGAATTCCAGGACGATCCCCCAGCTCTCTACTCTGTAGGGGATCTCCCCCTCATGCCGTCTGAAGGTTGCAAGAAGATGAAGCATGCCTTTGCCGTTGTCTTGAACTACCAGGGGGACATCGACATGGCCGCGGTGCGGGAGGCCATGGCGGTCAACGACTACAATGGTCTGCCAGAGCTATTGCGCCCCAGAACAAACTGGGAAGCCCTTTACACGATGCAGTTGGCACTGGTGCCCGCTGGCGACGGCGACGGGACAGACATCATCAAGTACTTTCTGTTCTCGGGCCCGCAGCCGTTGGTCGACGTCGAGAACCGCCTCCTGCGTGAGAATGAAGTGTTGTACACGCTATCTTGGGGCAAGGGAGCGGGCGTCAAGACGCCGTGGAAAGTCTTGGTCTACATGATGGATCGGCTCGGTGGCACGCACTTCCGTTACCACCTACCCCCGCAGGAGAAGGGCGAAAAGGAGAAGAAGAAGAAGTGCCTTCCCCGGGACATGATCGTATCCCAGTACCAGTTCATTAAGGACAACGCCCCGCGCGGCAACTTCGATTGCGAACAGATGATGTGGATCGACTTCCAGCTGAACGACCCGCAGAGCCCCATCCACAGCTGGAAAGAGGGGAAGATTTAGGAGGTTCTCTCGCACATTAAGGACCAGGGCATTCAGGCGAAAAAGATCACGTACCACCCCATCTTCATCTTCGACACAGGGGGCGAGGGCGTCGAGCGCGCGAAGCGCATCGTGCCTACTTTCAAGAGCCACTCCTGCCTCATGGTCGGCGAGCCTGGCGAGGGGAAGACGCCGTACCTGGAGACGCTGGCATTCGCCATGGGCGACTACTACGCAGACAAGCTGGGGGGCCGCGGCTTGGCCTCGTTCAGAGAGGGGCCAGACCTGGATTTCTTCAGGGCCGAAGAGGGCACGAAGCGCTGCCCGTGCGTCTTTGATGACGGCGACTTGTTCGAGCAGCGCCCGAAGACGTTGAAGGCTTTCTTGGACGTCGGCCAGTTCCAGGCGATGACGAGGGAGCGGTGGGGGGCTGCCAAGTTCGTTCGGGGTCAGGCGCGCTTCGCCGCGGAGAACATGTACGACGAGACGGCTGTCCCCACCATGGACGCGTGGCGCGGTCTGTGCATCTTGTCGCCAGCTGAGGCCAAGCAGAAGCGAAACCAGTACTTTTTCGACATGCTCAAGCGCACGTTCCCCAAGGACATGTCCAAAGCGAACGTCATGGCCCTCTTGAAGCGGTCCTCCGCGGTCGTGAACACCCCCAATGGCGCGTTCGAGCGCTTGGCGGGTTTGGACTCGGACGTGACGAGGGCCCCGAAGGTTGGCTACTACATTACCAAGGCAGCGGGGAATATTCTCTACGACTACATCCACAACGGCGTGATGCGGGACGCCGAGGAATACAACTCGCTGAGGGACAAGCAGCTCCGCTTCATGAAGGCGCTGCTGGACAAGGGTTCCGTGCCCCTGCCTCTCTCGGTCAAGGAGGAGCAGCCGCCTGACGGCGCCGAGGGCGGCAGTAGTTCGTCGGCGGCCCGCGGGCCCCTCCCGCCCTTGCCCAAGCGCATCTGCTGGGCGAGGTCGTTCGGGAGCATCCAGGAGGTCGAGATCGACCTCTCGAGCTCGCCCGAAGAGGCCCGCGGCGCCGCCGCCGCGCCCAGTAGCCAGGACCTCGCCGCTGCGCTCGCCGATGCAGACAACGGCGATCCGCTCGGCCTGGGCGGCGGAATGAATGCCGATGCGTCGGAATGAGCGGGCGGCCGCTTCGGCGGGGGGCAGCCAGCGGCCAACGCTGCCCCTCGATATTATAAATGCTGATCGATTGTACACTGGCTGCCCCGACTATGCCAAAGACGAGGGAGTCACAGCAGCAACCACAAACGCTACCTTCCAGAAAACGTTGTCGCCACGTCGTCGTCACCCTCATATTCTTTGTGAACTTGTTCTTCCTTTCCTCATCGTTTGCTGCCCACGTCCCCCGATCGGCTGAGCAAGGTTTGCTGCCCAAAGCTAGACACAGAGGGTCCATAAGGCGTTGGTAAGGACACCATGTGAAAACGCAAGTCCCGTCCATGCTGCGGCCGCTGTCGTGAGGAAGCCTTGTGACACACGCACGCACACGCACGCGCGCACACACGCACACACACATACACGCATACACACACACGCACGCACGCACACACACACACGCGCCTGATAGTTTTAATCGTTTTCGTAAGGGAACTCTTATGGAAACGCAGGTATTCTTGATATGTTTGAAGTTTTTGACAAGAGAACCATATAAAAACAGCTATTCTTGATATTTTTGATGGTTTTCACAAGGAAACCATGTGAAAACACAGATATTCATGATATTTTTAATGGTTTTCGTTAGGCAACCTTGTGAAAACACATATATTCCTGATATTTTGTGGTTTTCTGGAGACGGGCGCCCCTCTTCCTCTTGCGCCACCAGCCTCTGCAGCGCGCCCGTATCAAGAAAACCACAACATATCAGGAATATCTGTTTTTTTGTTCGCAGGGTTTCCGAACGAAAACCACCAACAATATACGGAATATCTGTGTTTTCACATGGTTTCCTTATGAACCATCAAAAATATTCAGAATATTTGTGTTTTCACAAGGTTTCTGTGCGACAACCTTTCAAACTATTAGGGGTAGTTGTGTTTTCACATGTGTTCCTGCCTGGCGCATTGTCCCTGAGGGGCGTGGACCTGGGGACGGAGCAGGGGGAGGGGCGCCCTTTTCCAGAACACCAACAACTATCAGGAATATCTGTGTTTTCACAGGGTTTCCTAACGAAAACCATCAAACATATCAGGAATATCTGTGTTTTCATATGGTTTCCTTGCCAAAACATTCAAACATATCAGGAATATCTGTGTTTTCATATGGTTTCCTCAGAGAGCAGCCCCTTTTGTAAGGCTTCTCATAAGGAGGAGGAGGAGGAAGAGGAGGAGGAGGAGGAGGAGGAGGAGGAGGAGGAGCAGCAGGAGGAGGATGAGAGGAGGAGGAGAAAGAAAAGAGAGGAAACAGAGGAAGAAACAGAGAAGCAGGAGGAGGGAAAGGAGGAAGAGGAGGAGGAGGAGGAGGAGCAGCAGCAGGAGCAAACGATCAATGATGGATTTGTGGTCGTGGGTGGTTTGGGGTGCGCTGGGGGGGGGGGCGACCATATATATATATATATATATATATATATATATGTATGTATGTATGTATATATATATATATATATATATATATATATATATATATATGTGTATATATATGTACAAATATGTATATGTGTGTATATATATATATATATATATATATATATATATATATATAGAGGACATTATTTGGGGTCCACGCTGGCTAACATGAAGGAAACCCTTCAAGTTTGCCAATTAAGGCTGGGGCCAGGTCATTGAAGTTCGCGCTTCGCGCAATGGGATCATCTTTGCGCTCTCGCGCCGCCCCTGGTGGAGCATCGCCGCTCTCGCCCCGCGCAAATGCCAGGTGCGCGTCGCGCTGTCGCGGGGGGAGGTGCTGTTTGTGAACGCCGCGCTGAGCCCCTCGCAGCAGTGGCACCTCGAGGCGGCCATGGAGCTCGCCGCCCGCGCACAACGGCTGCGTGGCGCGCGCGACGGGCGCGGCGGCGCCGTCGCGGACGGCGTCGAGGTGTTCGACCGCACGAGGGTCGTGCTCGGCATCTTCGCCCGCCGCGCCTCCTCGCAGGCAAGCGTCGGAAGCAGGGCGCCATCTCGATCCGATCGGCCTGACTCGATTTCGATCCCAGCCTCTCCGAGCTGATTCGACTTCGATGTTCCAACGATGCGGTGCCGTCCGATGTCGGCATGACGCTACTGTTCACCCAGGCGCGGCCGACCCGCCTCGATTCCGACTCCGTGCCGATGCGGCCCGATGCGATGTGCATCCCGTTCCGATTCGAGTCCCCGATTCGATACTGACTCGCCATCCAGCAATCCACCCCAACCCAACCCGAAGGCCCCGATTCGCCCTCCCTTTCCAGCGCAGGGGTTGGGGAACATGGAAAAACACACATGAAGCCCGTATCCCCCCAACCCGAAATTCGGGTCTTCTCGTTAGGTTAGGGTGGTCTGGTAGGTAGTCACTTCGGCGTCACCCCAACATACTTATACTATATTTGCGTCGCCCCCCCACGGGCGACGCGCGCACTGAGAAATCTTAGAGTATATGCGTCGTGGCGGGCGCTTGCTGGCCACACCGCTCGGAAAACGATTAACTACAATATGGGTATACTATATGTTCGGGTCGGACGAGCGCCTCCAAGGTGGACATATAGTACTAGTATGTCTCTGCGCGTCCCACATGAGGCCCGTACACCCCCAACCCGAAATTCGGGTCTTCAGGTTGGGTTGGGGTGGTCTGGAAGGTAGTCACTGACTGATTCTCCTCCTCCGGAGGAGGAGGGGGAGGAGGAGGAGGAGGAGGAGGAGGAGGAGGAGGACGAGGAGGAGGAGGAGGAGGGAGGAGGAGGAGGAGGAGGAGGGGGAGGAGGAGGAGGAGGAGGGAGGAGGAGGAGGAGGAGGGGGAGGAGGAAAAGGAAGAGGAGGAGGAGGAGGAGACGAGGAGGAGGAGGAGGAGGAGGAGGAGGAGGAGGAGGAGGAGGGGGAGGAGGAAAGGAAGAGGAGGAGGAGGAGGAGGAGGAGGAGGAGGAGGAGGAGGACGAGGAGGAGGAGGAGGAGGAGGAGGAGGAGGATTCCTCCGGATCAGAAGGGGTTCGGCTGCGCGGACACTCGCGCGCAGGGCTCCCGCGCTGAGGCCGCGCGCCGGCGCCCTCTTCTCCTCGCGGGGCGCGCCGCGCAGGCGGCCCGCGCGGGCCGCGGCGCGCGAGGCCGCCGTACAGCGGGGGCCCATGTCAAGAAACAACCTGCTTGCCTCCAGGGTGCCCTTGGTTTCTTGGGTTTCGATGGTCCCAGACCCCCTCGAGTCATGAGAAGTCGCGACGGGAGGTTTTTCGCTATTTTCGGCCTTTGGGGGCCCTCACTGGCCCTCGGGACCGTCAAAAACGACTCCGGACGAGAAACCGGTCCTGGGGAATGGGTCGAGACCTCTTGGGGGTCGCGTCATGCAAACAATCATGTCGGGGGTCTGGGGTTTTGCTATGGAAAGCTTGACGTTCCCACACCAAACATCCGTGGACGTCCTGGGGTCTCAGGGTTGGGCTTCTTGTGGAAACTTTCTTGTGGATTGGCCTCCACTGTACCATTCAGTCAGACCTGTCCCTTTACAGGAGGAATATTCAAACATAGTAAAAATAGTCTGGACACGATTTTTTGATTAGTTTTGTACATTTTTGAATTTTGTTGGAGTATTTGTTTTAATCCGCCTGTAGGGGGACACGCCCGACCTAACCATACCACCCGCAAGTGAAGACCGGAGTTCTTCTCGTCGCTCAGGTTCACCGAAGATTAAAGAGCCCCCAACCCTAACGACGCAGTGAAGACGTGGCCTCACTGTCCCCTCCCCGTCCCCTCTGCAGGAGGGATCATAAATCTGGGCCGTTCTGTTTGACACGTCTGCAGAGAAGACCCCTTGTCCCTAGTGTTTCTGGCCCTCCTAACTCGGATCGCCTCCCAAAGGGTTATGGGGTCCTTTTGTGCCTAGTCACAGGTGGCAAGGCTGCGCATCGAGCTGGCGGAGGCGCAGAGGGCCAAGGTGCGGCTGGGGTCGAGCGCCACGCAGGGCATCTCGGCGCAGCTGCGCCGCGTCGCCGAGGCCCTGGCGCGCCGCGTCCCGGGCTGCGACCGCGAGGCGCTGATGGAGCGGAGCGGCGCCGTCAAGGGGGTCTCGACGTCCTTCAACTCCTCTCGATGCTCCCCAGGACGTGTGTTAAGCCCCGCAGACCTCCGGCGCCTCGGAGAAGCAGGAGCGGCCGGCCCATCAAAACCTCTGGCCTCCAGGCGTCCGTCCCTGGCCTCGGGACCGTCAGCGGAGTGCCTCGGGGTGCGAAGCTGGCCCCGGGGAAGCCGAGAGGGCCAGGCGCCCACGCATCGGGCAGCTCGAAGCGCCGGATGTCCGGGTCAGAGCGGGCTTGCCCCACTCCGCTCCGCCGACGGCACGCAGCCCGTGTCGGCCCTCGCTGCGCCGCCTGCGTCGCAGCGGAGGGCTTCGGTGGGCAAGCGCGCGCTGGCGCTGGCACACGTTCCGAGAAGCGTCGAACGTCTCCGCAGAAGACGCGGCAGAGGCAGCAGCGAATCATCCAGGACGACGAGCGCAGGATCAAGGAGGAGCTGGCCCGCCTCCACGGCCTGCGCGGCAGGCAGCGCCAGTCCCGCCGCAAGCTGCCGACCCTCGCCCTCGTGGGGTACACCAACGTCGGCAAGAGCGCGATCGTCAACCGCCTCTGCGGGTCCGACCTGCTGGTCCGCGACGGCGTGTTCGTCACGCTCGACGTCGCGTCGCGACGCCTCGCGCTGCCGTCGGGTGGGGAGTGCCACGTCCTGGACAGCGTGGGGTTCGTGAAGAACATGCCCCACGAGCTGTGCGAGGCGTTCCAGGCCACGGTGGAGGAGCTGCTCTCCGCGGACCTGGTCCTGCACGTCCGCGACATGTCGCACCCCAAGAGGGACGAGTACGCCAAGGTCGTCACGGACGTGTTGGAGAAGACGGGCATCGACGTGCACAATCGCGTGATCGAGGTCTGGAACAAGATCGACCTGATCAGCCGCAAGGAGGCCCGCCACTTCAAGTTCATCAGGATGAAGCAGGACAGCGCCACGCCCCTTCTCCTGGTCAGCGCCCTGCGCGGCGAGGGTCTCGAGGACCTGCTGGCCGTCGTGGAGAGGCGGCTCGCTGAGCTGGCGGCCCCGGCGCAGGCGGTCGGGGCGCACGCAGCGGTGGCTTCAGCGCTGACGGGGTGAGCCAGTCCGCTCCGGTCCCCTCTGGCGGGATCGGGCTTGGGAGCCATGTGGAGCCGACCCCCCCCCTCTCCCTTCAGCTTTGTCGCATCAAGCCCCAGCCCCACTGGGCCATGGTGTCTCAGCCCCACTGGCTCAGCCCCCCAGGTGGGGATCCGCCCCGCGACACCCAGGGGGAAAGCATGTTCGCCCACCCATGGGGGTAGGCCGGCAAGTGTTGCGAAGGCCATGCCAGTGGGGACCCAGACTTGCCACGTCTTGATTTTTTCAATGCTGGGCCCCCAGACGTCCCGACCCTTCTCCTGGGGCCAGTTTTCCATCGCAAGTTTTTTTTTCACGATCCCTGGGCCCGGCGATGGCCCGTGGAAGCAGAAAATTGGCAAAAACCTCCGTCGTTTTTTTTTTGTTTGACGCGAGCATGTTTGGGGACATGGATCGGTTGAATTAGATGCTCGTTTGGGGAACCTTTCTGGGGCCCACCTACCAGATCTGGTGGACTCCGATTTCGACTCTAGCTCGACTCAAGTTCGATTCAACTCGACGGACGTTCGACGCAGCCTCGACGCATGAGTGGAGCGAGTTGTCCGAGGCGGCGGCGATCGGACGGGCCCATGGACCGGGACTTAGACATGCTCGCGCCGCGAAAAATGATGACGGCAGGTTTTTGGTGGCCGTTTTCTCGGAAACTAGAGCATATGCATTAGCAGTTGTTGTTCAATCCCATGTTCTTTTAGGGTCGGTGACGACGTCGGATTGGTGTGGTGTATACTTTTTCTTGTTTTCCCAGGGAAGCGCAGAAACAAATATACACTAGGAGTTCGTATACACCAGGATCCGCTTTCCTGTGCAAGTTTCAGTGCGGGGTCGGAAAAAGCTTCGGCGTGAAGAGTTCGGCCCCCTATTTTTGGCCTCCAGGGGCCTTCGCCAGGACCCCAAACTGTCAAAAGGCGACTTGGCGTGAAGCGCTGGCCCTGGGGAAAGAGTCGGGACGTCTGGGGACCGCGCGTTCAACAATCAAGATGCCGGCTGTCTCGTTAGGGGCAAATCGCTCCAGAGCGTTTCAGAATGCTCTCAGAGCGTCCTGTAGCGCTCCAGAGCGGCCGCGCCGCGCGATGCCCCCAGAGCCGCCAGATCTCAGAGATCTCCGAGTCGTCCAGGTCCGGTCGCGTCCCCATCCTGGCTTCGTCTCAGACGACGGCGGCGGCGCAGGCGGAAGCGGCGGCGGCGGCGGCGGCTGCGGAAACGGCGGCGGTTGCGTCGGCGGTGGCGGCCGCGGAAATGGCGGCGGCTGCGGAAGCGGCGGCGGCTGCGTCGGCGGCGGCGGCCGCGGAAGCGGCGGCGGCTGCGGCGGCGGCCGCGCTGGCGCAGGCGGAGGGCCCGGGCGTGGCTGCGGCGGCCGGCGCCCCCGCTGGCCGCGGCGGCCTCGAGCGCGCGCGCATCCCTGGGGGCCTGCCCGCGGCCGAGATCGCGGAGCGGTGGGCCTTCCTGCGGGAGCACGGGCGGGTGGTGGAGGACTCCATCGCGGCCGAGGGGGACGGCGTCGCGGTGGAGGCGCCACGGGGGATCATAATCAGGCGATCGCAAACATGGATCAAGGGGGCGTGGGTTAGCGATGGGTCCCGCTTCCAGGGCAAGTCGCGGAGCTCCGCCGCCGAAGGAGGCGGCACCGGCCGCATTTTGTGGAGGGCACCTCCCCCGATCCATGGATTTGGCGACGGCGCGCCAAGTCCATGGATCGCTAATCCATGTTTGCGCGCCCCCGGGATCAAGGCAGGGCTCGAGCCAAACGGTGCTGTTGGCGATCTCGTGGGCCGTGTTTTCGTTCCGAGGTCGTTTCGCGGCACAGGCGGAGCGGAGGCAGGGCGAGGGAGACCGAAAGCAAGACGAGGACGAGAAGCACCGTTCATGGCTCGAGCCCTGGATCAAGGAAGCCGCAGGCGTGGAGGAAGGCGCAGGTGTCAGCGACGGGTCCCGTTCCCACAACAGATCGACGCGCTCCGTCGCCGCATCGGGCGGCACTGGCGCCGTCTGTCGGGGGGCACCTTCCCCGATCCGTGGATCTGGCGCTCGCGCGCAGGATCCATGGATCCGCAAGCCATGTTGGCTTGCGCCCGAGACGGGGAGGAGGGGGAGGGTGAGATCAGCGCCGAGGAGGCGCCAAGCGAGTCTCAGAGGAGGGCGAGTTGAGGTAGTTGGCCTTCGGTGGCCCCCCTCGTCGGCACGGCTGGACGCAGCTCGGAGAGCTGGTTCGTTTGGACGCGGGGAGGGGTCCGGGGACAGATTCTGGAAAGGGGGCTCCTCGGCGATTCAAGCAGACAAGTTCCTCGACGATCTGTTTATGCAATGGCTCTTCGATTCAAGCTGACACTTCTACAGAAAGTGAACTGGTGTTTAGATCCTGCCACAACTCAACTTGTGTCTAAAATTGCTGCGGTGAGCGGCGCAGGGAAGAGAGCGCCGGCACACACACGCAGCCACCTACCGCCCCAACCAACCTCCATGGAAGCCATATTCAGTGCGAAAAATCTCATTCAAATTATTGATTTTTCGGGCCCTGTCCGAAGCCATCCGCCCCCGAAGAGATGGCAGATAGCTCCGCCAGGCCACCCTCACGGGGGAAACCTGCAAGCCCGATTCGCCCAGCATTCGCTGGAAAAAAGGGTTGGAATTGAAAACGCTAACTGCTTTAGCGATTAGTTTACACCAGTGGGGGTGAAACGGAAGAATCAACCACACTGGGGTGCAAGTCTCCCTTGGGCGCGGGGGGCTCCTGGGAAAAATACCCTCCAACAGAGATGAATTGAAGCATGCGTTGGTGAGCCGATTTCTGAATTCAAGTTTGACGTCCTTCTCCTGGCTGGTGTGGCTGCAAAATGCTAGCATGGTCTGGAGCATGGCCCTGGGCCAGGACCGGTGCACAGACCACGGGTGCGCACTCGTTGACGCCAGTGGGATCGTCAAAGTTGTGATCTTAAACGCTGGCTTTACAGAAAAAGCTCCTCCTGCGATGCAAACCGACAGTTGGAGCCAATGCGACTCCTCGACATGCCCTTCGTCCAAAACCAAACGGAAATATCTGGATCGGTGTTGCATGATACGAAGAAAGGCACTGAACTTTGCAAAGTCACGATATGCAATCAAAATGTCGTCCTTGAACCTCATGTAAACAGATACCTGGAAATGCATGCGTACATATTGCGAGCACGCCCAGGATTCTAAACGGTTTGCAAGGGCCACATCTGCCACTTCCCCAGAATGGATCAATCCCATGCCAGAGCCCACAACGACTTGGTGCCTGTGGTTTGGCCAGTGTGGTGATGACACGTACTGATGCGCAAGTAGTAACTGCAAAGCACGCTGAACGAGTGCTTTCTGAGCGCCTGTCATGTGAGACGTCGCATCCTGTATTAACTCGTCCATGGACCCAGACATGAAGTAGTCCTTGATGTCAATTTTCGCCAAGCGGGTGCCTGGCGCAGCGTGGCGGCCACGAAGATGCCGCGCAGCATCGACAGCATCGCGGACCAACCAGGGCAGATCGGAAAGATGTCTTCGAAGAACTCCCGATACCCACTTGGATAGCCCAGCGAAGGAATACTGTGCGCTACAATGCAATGCCCGGAACGTCACTGGATTCTTGTGGGTCTTGCACGTCTTGGCAAGACGAGCTGTTAGAGAAGCTCCTTTGATGTACATGCTGCGGATGATCTGCCCCGAAAGCCCCTCTACCCCCTCGTAGTCCTCGATGTCTCTTGCCACGCGAGCGTACTTTTTCCAGACATGGGTGAAATCGACATCGAACTCATCCAAGCTTTTGTACACGTCTGTGGTGAGTATGCCGAGGTCAATGCGCCTGTCGTCCATGAGCCGGACGAGCGTGAAGCCGACCTCCTTGTCGTTCGGCACAGCCACCATGTTGGTGCGGCGCAGCAACGAGAAGGCCAGCTTGACCAGGGGCAACGTGTTGGTTGGTCTGCTTCGGTGGCTAAGCTGCGACTTGCTTGCCGCTGCCGCCACGGCCTTGCGGAGGCCGTAGATCCAACAGTCCAGAGAGGGAGTGGACATCTTGTTGAATTCGGGGGTCTTCGATCCTTTCAGCTTGATGTACGCAGAATCACGGCGACTGCCATGGAACCATCTCCATTTGAATTTGTTGGCAAAGGTGCGAAGGTCATCAGCCAGCAGCTGATGATTCGGCATGGCTTGAGAAGCAAATATGAATTTAGGATTGAACGTGCTCAATAGCCAGAGGACTGGCCAGGGAACGTCGACGGCGTCGCGGAGCACTCCAGCAGGATGCTCGAACACCTTGACGCGCCCCGCCACTGAAGAATACCGCATTAACGATATCCATGTGGCCACGTTTGCCCCAGACAACAAGCGCAAGATCATGCGAGTCTGGGCCGAAGAGCTCCTCACTTCTTTCCGCGCTTTCCTTTGCCTTTCTTGCCATAGCCTTTGCCTTTCCCACCTTTTGGCTTGCCTTTGCCCTTCCCCCTGCCCGCGCCCTGTGGTTTGGGCGGCGTGCTGCGGGAAGCTGTCTGTTCGTGGCCGGCGGTTGCACCGCCTGTCCCGGGAAGGTCTTCCACGACCATCGAGTCCTGGGCCGCCATTGCCTTCTGAACTGCAGCCTCCGCGATGTGTTCCACAGCGTTCTGGAAGAGGGACTCCGGCTTGGTCTGCAAAAGTTGCTGCTCCTTCTGCTCTTCGGCTCGCCGGTGTTTTTCGAGCGCGTCCCGCTTGCTGGCTTCAGTTTTCTCCACCTTCAGCACGGCCCGGCGGTAGAGCTCCTCCACCTTCTCGGCCCGCATCTCAGGGCTGACCTGCTTCATGAGGGGCTCCTCCAGGCCTAAATCTGAAGCTTGAGACGAACAGGCTTTGTCCATGATGTCTTCGCACGTCTTGGCAAAGACGCTCTTCTTGGACATTTCTGCTGCGTTAGCGGAGGAAGACTCCAGAGCCTCCACGTCGATGGCCCTCAACTCATGAGCGACCCATCTGTGCAAGGCAGCTTTAGCTTCTCTGCGGGTGGACCCCTTGGGAATCGTACATAACTGACCGGACGGCAACGCAACAGACACGTCCGTCGATGCAGCTGTGCTCCAAGGAGCGTCCAATTCCACGTGGTGGGCTGGGCTTTTGAATGGCCTCATCCCGTTGGGGTAAGACCCTTGAGCGAGAAGCTTGACGTCTTCAACTGCCTTTGCATGCATTGCCTTCGCCTTCACTGATTTACCCAAATTCTGCTCGAAATCGTACGTCACCTTATCCAAACTCTTGTTCAAAGAAGCTGGGAAACTCTTGAAGAATGTATTACTGCCAACGTTGCCCTGTGCTGCCTCTGGCGTGGCGGTACCTCCAGTTGCACCTCCCACATCCCGATGAGAAGCAACTTGCAGAATGGCCTGCTGGAGGGCCTGGAAGTTCTGCTGATTTTGCTCGTTCATGGTGTGGAATGCTGCGATGAAAGCTTCGTTCTGCCTCGTCTGGGCCGCCACCTGCTCCCGGAACGTCTCGAGAATGGTCTGGACGGACTCCGGGGGGGGCGGCGGCGGCCGCGGTGGTTGCCGCGGCGACTGGCCAGCGGCCTGCCTGCCTTGCGTCGCATCGCTCGGGTGGGCCCCTTTGGGAACCTTCGGTGGCCCCTCATCAATCGACGCGATGGCTCGAGCTGCACTGGGTTGGGAACTGCTGCCGACACCGGGAGAATGCATGATAGACTCACTCTGGAAAGGGGGCTCCTCGGCGATTCAAGCAGACAAGTTCCTCGACGATCTGTTTATGCAATGGCTCTTCGATTCAAGCTGACACTTCTACAGAAAGTGAACTGGTGTTTAGATCCTGCCACAACTCAACTTGTGACTAAAATTGCTGCGGTGAGCGGCGCAGGGAAGAGAGCGCCGGCACACACACGCAGCCACCTACCGCCCCAACCAACCTCCATGGAAGCCATATTCAGTGCGAAAAATCTCATTCAAATTATTGATTTTTCGGGCCCTGTCCGAAGCCATCCGCCCCCGAAGAGATGGCAGATAGCTCCGCCAGGCCACCCTCACGGGGGAAACCTGCAAGCCCGATTCGCCCAGCATTCGCTGGAAAAAAGGGTTGGAATTGAAAACGCTAACTGCTTTAGCGATTAGTTTACACCAGTGGGGGTGAAACGGAAGAATCAACCACACTGGGGTGCAAGTCTCCCTTGGGCGCGGGGGGCTCCTGGGAAAAATACCCTCCAACAGAGATGAATTGAAGCATGCGTTGGTGAGCCGATTTCTGAATTCAAGTTTGACGTCCTTCTCCTGGCTGGTGTGGCTGCAAAATGCTAGCATGGTCTGGAGCATGGCCCTGGGCCAGGACCGGTGCACAGACCACGGGTGCGCACTCGTTGACGCCAGTGGGATCGTCAAAGTTGTGATCTTAAACGCTGGCTTTACAGAAAAAGCTCCTCCTGCGATGCAAACCGACAGTTGGAGCCAATGCGACTCCTCGACATGCCCTTCGTCCAAAACCAAACGGAAATATCTGGATCGGTGTTGCATGATACGAAGAAAGGC